ATAATTTAATTAAAAATATAAATGATCAGATGTGATTGGTTGTGAAAAAATAATCACTCTGTTTTGTTTTAGTTTTCAGAATTCACTTTTTAGAAGATTTGACTTTTTCATTTTTTCTATTTTTTTTAATTTTTACTGAATTTTTTAAAATTTTAAATAATTTTTAGATACACGTAACATAAATACACTTAAAAAGTATAATATTTGTGAAAAAAATCTTTAAAAAATTCATTAAATACAAAAAATAAAAAAATAAAAAAATTCAATACATTTTTTATATTTTTGTGTATTTATTAATTTTTTAAAATATTTTTTCACAAATATTTTACTATTTAGATACATATAAATAAGGTGCAATTAAAAAAAGTAAAAAAAAAATTGTTTAAAATTTTAAAAATATTCACTAAAAACAAAAAACTATGAAAAAAAAAATTCAATTTCTAAAAAACAAAATTCAAAAAATTAAAATGAAACATATTGAATAATATTTAAATCTGACATTGGACATGAATATTTTTAGAAAGATTATTAATAAGATTTTAGGTTGATATAGACATTACTCACCATAAAATGCACTTGCAAGAGCCAAGTGTCCACTAGAGATAGTGACATGTGTTTTCTTTATATATGAGCAACATTCTAAAGTAGTTTCCACGAAGCTTCCGACTTTCAACTTTTTTTTTTAGGTAAGTTAAAAAAATAAATAAATAAAAAATAAAAAGATACAAGCTAGTAGGGGTGTTCGCGGATCGGTTTTGTGCAGTTTGCGGTTCGGTTTTGACCCGCCCGCAGGTATGCGGTTTGGGAAAAAGTCAATCCGCAACCGCCCGCAGTGCGGTTTGCGGTTTGTGCGGATAGGGTTTGCAAATGTGCGGGCGGTTTGCGGTTTACACTTTTTTCTTTAAAAATTAATTTTTGAGGTTTTTTTTCCCAGCGAATTTAGGCATCAGATTCATTTTATATATTTGTGATAACAATTTTTTGATGAGTTTACAAATAAAAATTGAATATCAATGCATTAAATGAAAGTACCCAAAACAAAGAGACACACGTAACATAAATATATTTAAAAAGTATAATATTTGTGAAAAGATCTTTAAAAAATTCATTAAATACAAAAAATAAAAAAATATATAAATTCAGTACATTTTATATATTTTTGTGTATTTATTAATTTTTTAAAATATTTTTTCACAAATATTTTACTATTTAGATACATATAAATAAGGTGCAATTAAAAAAAGTAAAAAAAAAAATTGTTTAAAATTTTAAAAATGTTCACTAAAAACAAAAAAAATATGAAAAAAAAAAAATTCCATTTCTAAAAAACAGAATTCAAAAAATTGAAATCAAAACATATTGAATAATATTTAAATCTGACATTGGACATGAATATTTTTAGAAAGATTATTAATAAGATTTTAGGTTGATATAAACATTACTCACCATAAAATGCACTTGCAAGAGCCAAGTGTCCACTAGAGATAGTGACATGTGTTTTCTTTATATATGAGCAACATTCTAAAGTAGTTTCCACGAAGCTTCCGACTTTCAACATTTTTTTTAGGTAAGTTAAAAAAAAAATAAAAATAAAAAATAAAAAGATACAAGCTAGTCAAGTTAAAGGGCTCTATACTCCACTTTGAAAGTGAGAGGCATCATGGCTGACCCTATCCTAATTTTGACCTGAAAAATGTAATAGAAATGGCAAAACAAGATACAAGCTAGTCAAATTTCAAATTTCAAATTAATGCACATTGATTCTTACACTAAATAATGCTATCATTGTGTTTGAATTAAGAATTTATGAAGAAAAAAAAATTGAAAGACAGTTTTATTTTGTTCACTTTTTTATTCCTATTTTTTTCATTCTCAAATAAAATAGTTCTACTATATTTGAATCTTAAATTTTAAATTTATAAAAAAATTAATTTATATTTCAATCACATTTTTCTTTTCTTTTTTATAAAATCTCTTGGAACACAACCTCCATTCTTATTACTATATTGGAAGTCTTTATTGTCAAGTGATGATTCAAGGCAATCACATTAAGTTTTGAGTGAAAGTTAAAATTTTAGATATGGGAAATGATATAAAAGATTCATTTTAGACTTAATTTTCATACACAGTGAGATGTCAAGAAAATAATTTATTGATAATTAGAAAATATTTAATTATTAACTAACTATCTTTTTAACATAACATTGAGTTTAGAAAACAGATTTAACTTTTGAACCTAAATAGCAACACTCTAAATATTGGTCTATATTATAATCTAACTACTAAAAACTTAAAATCACTATACCATTGATTAACATTTGTCCATATCATTAACTTTTATTTTTCTTTCTTTCCAATTAGGAAAAAGAAAAATAAATAGAATAGTTGGCCTGATAATCTATGTAATTTTTTCTTAAGACCGTAAAAATATGTGAAAAGTTCAAGACTCCAGTTGATGAAGGGATTATGGGGTTGTTTGGGAAGTGGGTTCAGGTGGGTTTGGAGCTAAAATAGTTACAAAAAACAAAATAAGTTTTTTAGTCTCAATAAGACAAAATATCACATCTAACTCATAATCATTACATTCTTTCTCTCACAAAAAAATCAAAAAAACAAAAAATTCTTTTCAAATTAGACTTTTTAATTCCAAATTAAAATAATCAAAAAAAAAATTAAAAAGCTAATCCACGTCCAAAGCCTGTGACATTTTCGTTAGATTTTGACTTACTAATCTGTTAATAGAAAAAAAATTACTATAGCAAAAATCTTCGCGCACTGTGCCTGTCTTTACTTTCTTAAAGAGTAATCTATACACTGAAAAAAGAAATTGCAAACTTCGTTTATGAAATTTGTTGCTTTGTAAAACAATTTTCAATAAAGTTTGAAGGACCATAACTGCATTTGGCACCAATCTAAAATATAAATAAAATAACAATAATAAAATGTAGTAACTGCATTTGGCACCATCTGTTTTGCAATAAATGCTATATTTGCATCAAAAAAGGGGAAAGCATCAAAGTTGTGTAACTCCAAGAAACTGACCCTACTTTTGTCAATCAGGATTCTCTACAATACATCTTTTTGCATTGGTTTATTTTGAGGGTAAATTACCTTTACACTCTCTATGAAATTTGCTTACATATAAATTGTTTATTATAATTTTAGAAATTATATATCGCCTTTTAAATATTTTAATCACATAATAAATTATTAAGTTAATTAAAAATTTAATGATATCAAAAATATTTTTTAATTAATAATCTAAGTAATTTTATTATTGTATAAAAATATAATTAGAAATTTTATTTTTTCTGTTAATTCTATTTTTTTTTTCACAAGGAGACATTTGTAATTTCTACAACTATAGGAATAATTTATATTTTAAGCAAATTTTAAGAAATGTATTTATAATTTACTCTTATTTTGATAATCTAACAATCTGTTTAAAATTAAAATAAAATTATATTTTTTAGGATATATGATTTTAATGTCATTTTACTTTAATTTTAATTCGAATAATTAATTTATATATTTTGTTGATACGTCTTGTTGTGATAAAAGTACAATAAGATTGATAGAACTTATATAATCTGTTTGATAGCACGTAAAGGTCTACTTATATAGCTTATTTGATTAAAAAAATTAATTAATGATGTTTAGCTTTAATTTTAGATTACAACTTTAACCTTTTCAATTTATCTAAAAAAATAAAATTCTCTTAAGCTACAATTTTTAACTTTTTTTTAGCTTAGTTGAATGCTTTAAATATCAGCAATGGTTGAGGGCTACAATTTTTGTAGTTCAAATGGCTCGAAATTGCCAAAATGACGTCGTTTTGGCAATTTCAAGCCATTTGAGCCACAAAAATTGTGGCCCTCAAACATTTTTCCTTTAAATATGTATGGATGAAAAACTTATCTCTTTTGCCTTAATCATAACTTTCGAGAGCATCTTGAATATTTGCAATTTATTTAATCAAATATATTCTTTTTTTTTTTTTTACGAATTATAAACAGTTCCAAACAGATTTATAACCTATTTAAAAATTTTCAAGCTAAATGATTACAGAAGGAATAATAGTGTTACGTGTATATATATATATATATATATACTAACAGTTAGCACACGTGATGAGTGTATAATTTAAATATATAAAAATAAAATAAAATATTTATTATATATTGTGTGTTATTCAAGTGGTAAGAATATTTTTCAATAAACTGGACCAATGTCTAAAGTTCAAATCTTTTGTCAAACAGAAAAAAAGGTTCAAGTCTTATTTGTCCCATTTATTTAATTTATTTAATTTGTTTTAATCAAAAAAATAAGGAATACATTGCATAAGAAGAGAAGGAAAGAAAGCTTAGACACCAAATGAATTATTCACTTTACAGTATATAAGCGTAGGTATTTGAAAAGAATGTATCAGAGTGTTAGGCGTAACTTTTACATGATGCAAAAATAGTTTGAAAAATTAAAAAAAAATATAATTATCTAAAAACTTTGGAAAGAGATGTTTTAAACTTTTTCTAATTATCAATTTACAACTTAAAAAAAATTACACCAAACATGTCCATTCTCCTTCCATTATTTAAGAACTAGTTGGCCATTTGATCCAAAGCAAGGCCAGTGAGATTTTGTGAGTTGAGAGATAGAGAAATGGGTTCCAAAGCTCTTTTCTTCTTTGCAATCTTATCCTTAATTTGTTTTAATCAAAAAAATAAGGAATACATTGCATAAGAAGAGAAGGAAAGAAAGCTTAGACACCAAATGAATTATTCACTTTATAGTATATAAGCGTAGATATTTGAAAAGTATGTATGAGAGTGTTAGGCGTAACTTTTACATGATGCAAAAATAGTTTGAAAAATAAAAAAAAAATATAATTATCTAAAAACTTTGGAAAGAGATGTTTTAAACTTTTTCTAATTATCAATTTACAACTTAAAAAAAATTACACCAAACATGTCCATTCTCCTTCCATTATTTAAGAACTAGTTGGCCATTTGATCCAAAGCAAGGCCAGTGAGATTTTGTGAGTTGAGAGATAGAGAAATGGGTTCCAAAGCTCTTTTCTTCTTTGCAATCTTATCCTTCTCAGTGTTGTTTTCTCTCAATCTCAACCTAGCTTTTGCAGAAAATGAGGAAACTGAAGAACAAGTTGGTCTGGTTATGAACTTCTACAAAGATACATGTCCTCAAGCTGAAGAAGTGATCAGAGAGCAAGTCAAGCTTCTCTACAAACGCCACAAGAACACTGCATTTTCATGGCTCAGAAACATCTTCCATGACTGTGCTGTTGCGGTATGCATGCTAGCCATTCTCTTAATTTTTTGGGTTAATTACACAGATGGCCCCTGAAATAGGTGATCGGTTATATTGTAGTTCTCAGTCTTTTAATTTTTCTGTTTTAGTTAACAAAATAAGCGATTTGTTGTGTTTAGTACCTGGTGTCAGTATTGTTCAAAATCAATTACGAAAGGAGAGATTTTTGTAGAATTAAAAAAATGCAAAAAAAAAAAAAAAAAAAAAATTTAAAAGATTGGGGATCAAATTGCAACAGAGCGTATACTTTGGGAACTAAAATAAAATAGAACGCATATTTTGGGACCATCTGTAAATTTAGTCATTTTTATTTTGTTGAATTTTCATGCCAAATTTTGAAAGAATAATGCTTGGGACCCCCTTTTGGGGTCACCCCTCACCCCCTTTGTCACGTGGCGGGTGGTGATTGGAGGAGCAGGAAAAAAAAGAAAAAGAAAAAGAAAATGTAACCAATGAGAGAGAGAGGGGGTCAAAGGGGTGAGGAAAAAAGGGGGATGAATCATTGTTGATTTTGAAAATACTACTTCTCCTGTTATTGATTTAAAACGGCGCAAACGCTAAAAACTAAAGAGGTTATTAAATCGCATAATTTGGGGATCAAGGTGAAAAAATCAAAAGATAGTGAACCAATAGTACCAAATCACATATTATGAGGACCATTAGTGTAATTAATCCAAATTCTTTTCTCTCTTACATATGTGCACAAGGACAGCTCTTGGCCTAATTGTAAGGTGTCTTGTGTTCGAAACACGAAAACAGTTTCACTCCATGCCGGGTTTTATGTACATTTGACACTTCACTAATGTGATAGCCTCGTATATATTTGATATATAACTCGTGTTTTGCTGTCTATGTAGTCATGTGATGCTTCACTATTACTGGACTCGACAAGAAGGAGCTTATCTGAGAAGGAGACAGATAGGAGCTTTGGGCTGAGGAACTTTAGGTACCTTGACACCATTAAAGAAGCTGTGGAGAGAGAGTGCCCTGGAGTTGTTTCTTGTTCTGATATCCTAGTCTTGTCTGCTAGAGATGGCATTGTTGCGGTATAAATTCTCGAAAAATTCCACGTACATAGAATTCAAATACACAGAATTGGACACAATCCTCTCACATGAGGTGAGTCCTACTAATTGTGTAGGTTCCACCTAATATGAGATGGTTGTGTCCGATGCTGTACAATTATTAGACCTTACATTCTAGTCTTCTTTTCAATATATACAATTTTATTTCACCTCGTATCTGTATTGGGTTTTTCTTTGTTTAATCTCTACAATAGATCTGAATGTGGGTACGTTTTTCATATTAATTTGTTTTGTGTATGTGTACACATGCAGATGCACTATCTATACCAATTATACTCTAAAAAGTTTTTGAGAAGATTTTTGGATAGTGTTTGGATCTTAGATTTGTAGAGAAATTTGTATAGAAAAAAAAGAAATGAAGGTTCTACTTCACTATTCATCTTTTTGCCCTTCACAAATCTCTTCGCAATTAAGATCCAAACACTATTATCAAAAATGCTAGACACACATAAATCAAAATAGATCGCACATGGTTGTGAAGCCTACAAAAGTATTGGGTCCACAGTAGTTGTCTGTAGTCTGTCTTATATTTGGTATCTATTTTTTTTTTCACTCAGGATTTTGTGGCGGGTTGTTGGAGGATGTTGGTCAACATTTTTTTGTTTGCTTTTGTTGTCTGCGATATAAATGAATTTGGAAGCATATGTACAAAATTTTATATCATGTTTGGAAACTTGTGTTTTTACAGCTTGGAGGGCCATACATACTTCTGAAGACTGGAAGAAGGGATGGAAGGAAGAGCAGAGCAGAAGTGCTTGAACAATACCTACCAGACCACAATGAGAGCATGCCTGTTGTCCTTGAGAGGTTTGCTTCCATTGGAATTGACACCCCTGGTGTTGTTGCCTTGCTAGGTATATAATATAACCTTACTACTTCCGATCATTAACCATCATTTACATAAACAAATACATAAAAAAAAAAATTAAAAAGACATTCCATGCACGAGAATCTCGTCACTCCAAGATTTGGTAAGGATCAGATGTATAGTGTAAGTTGTCTTACCCTGCATCTGGACATGTTGTTTCCCGGTTTTGAATCCTTGACGGTCATACTGGCTTACAAACCCTATTTATAAGGGAAGTGGCTTGCTAGCCACATCACAATCACAGTAATTACCCGCCAATCATATCACAAATATGAAAAATTAAAAAAAATGATCAAAAATAACAAATTCAAGTTCAGCTTTAATTTGAAATTTAAAATAAAAAGAAACTACTTAAAATAAAATCATGACTTACAACAGATTTGATTAGAGCTGAATTGAGTACTCAAATTTTTTCAAAAATAGTAAATCCAACCTCTAGCTAAAATCCAGCCTCGGTCACCGCTTAGCTTTTGAGTTATTTTAGTTGGACTTTTTCGGATCCGATATGGGTCATTTGAAGCTGATCCGACAACTTGAAAAATTTCCCATTTAGCCATCAAATGATCAAATTACTCCGTGAACTTGCTATCTAACCGCACTGCATCACATACATGAATTACATAATGGGGGTGCCTAAATCTCTACCATTTGCTCTTATTGTTTCTTACTAGGTGCTCATAGTGTGGGTCGGACCCATTGTGTCAAACTGGTCCACCGGTTATACCCAGAAGTTGACCCAGTGCTCAACACGGACCATGTTGAGCACATGCTTCACAAGTGCCCCGACCCAATACCTGACCCGAAGGCAGTGCAGTATGTGAGGAATGACAGGGGCACACCCATGAAGCTCGACAACAACTACTATAGAAACATATTGGACAACAAGGGCTTGTTGATAGTGGACCACCAATTGGCCACAGACAAGAGGACTAAGCCATTTGTGAGGAAAATGGCTAAGAGCCAAGACTACTTTTTTAAAGAGTTTGCTAGAGCCATTACTATTCTATCTGAGAACAATCCTCTTACTGGGACTAAGGGTGAGATTAGAAAGCAATGCAATGTTGCTAACAAGCTCCACTAAACTTCTCTCTTGTTTGTTTGTATGAGGAGAGAGAAAGAGAACGACTGGGAGTGACAAAATAAGATTTTTTTTTTTTTTCTTCTTCTCTCTCTAAATGGGTCAGGCTTGTTTAAATGGGTATGAAGTGGGTACTGTTTTCATTGTAGTGATGGGCATGGTGAATGTTGGCATGGCATGGATGTTTGTATGTATGTATGTATGGTGGTGATGATGTGCATAATATGAATTTCAATTATGATATTTATCAAATTTTCACTGCCCCGCTCTAATACAATAAAGCTTTACTTATTTGAAAAAACTTGGAGAAATTGCATTTCAGTTAGCCAATAAAAAAATAATCTCATTTTTATGAGATGCAATTTTGTTTTATTTTTTTTTTTGTGTTTGGTGCAAATTTTTCTTATGTATCAAACTTTGTGCAATTATTTTGGGAACCAATGCTATTTCCTCTTAAAAATTTTGTTATGTACTTTAACCAGATTGTAAATGTGTGTTTGCAATTTAATTGATGTATTTTGGGGTTTGGGAAAGTAACATTTCAGTAGAATAATTCTAAAATAATTACACTACACATGAGATCTTTTAAGTGTACAACACATGATTAGACTTGCACCCTCATAAAAATGAATTTTTTTATTTTTATCACTGGCCAACTAATTTGAGATTTCTCCCTAAAATGAAACCGAACCATATATTGATATTATATCATATGGGTGTAGCCTTATTGACCCAAATAAGAAAGTGGGACGATAATTTCATTTTGCAAATAAGAAAGTGGGACGATAATTTCATTTTGCATATTTGTAATGAAAAGATTTCATTTCATCATTCAATGGTAAATGTAATCATCTTTTTAAATTTAAATTAATTATAAATTTGTATTTCTATTTCATAATTATTGGATACATAATGACTTTTTTCTCCTAGGAAAAGGTTTTGTGCTAATTTGAATAAGTCAATCAATTTATGTAGTTGATCCCATAGAGCCAACTTATGTAGTGAATCTCAAAGAGCCAACCCTCTGTTAGCACAATATTATCCTCTTTGAAACCTTCAATTAACACAATATTGTTCGCTTTGGGCGTACCCTCCAGGTTTGTTCTTCCCTTAGGAAAAGGTCTTGTACTAATCGAACGAGTTAGTCAACTTATGTAGTGGAGTGTGATTTCCTCACGGAGCGATGTGGGATTGACACCCATCACTACAACAAAAAAGGTCTATGGTGACGAAAACTCATGACGAAAAAATATTTCGTCTCCAAATATACATGTTTTAGTGATGAAAATAAGATTTCGTCTCTAATTATACTATTTTTAGAGACGAAAACAAAATTTCGTCACCAAATGCATAAAATAAATAAAATAATAGGTGACGAAATTTTTTTTCATCGCTAAATTTTATTTTTCGTCACAAAACAAATTCCCGCCCTTAGAAATTTGGTGGAAAATTTCGGCACCCATATTAGAGACGAAAACTTTCGTCACCACTATAAAAATTTTCAGAGATAACATATTTTCGTCACCTATAATTCAAGGAGACAAAACGACGCCGTTTTGTCTTCCCAAATCACTCTTCTCTCTCGCACTATTTCTCTCACTCTCTCACCCAGTCTGTCTGTCTCTCTCTCTCTCTCTCTGGTCTGAGCTCGTGAAACCCTCTCATCGATCTCTTCCTTGCCCTCTCACATGCACACGAGCACTGCCGAAAACCCTATCTCTCTGTCCGAATTGCACCACCGGAAGCCCTCTCTCTTCGTTCGAATCGCACCACCGAAAGCCCTCTTCTCCGTTCATTTTTCTTCATTGATGCGACACCACCGGAAGCGCTCTTCTCCATCCATTTCGCACCAGGTATCTTCTTTTCTATATATATATGTACACTTTTTGTGAATAAAGATTTGTATGCGATTTCCCTCATTTTTTTTTCGATTTCCATTTGGGTAAATTGTTGAATGCGATTTGCTCCTACTCTGTTTTGAGGTTGTGGTATGCTGGTATGCTCCGATTTGAGGTTGTGGTTTAATTGATTGTGCAAAATCAAAATATGTTAAATATTAAATAATTCAAATGCATGTTATATAGGCAAAAATTATCATCTGATGGATAAACAAAAATCAGCATCTTCTGAGAGAGAGAACAATAATATTAAACATATATTCATTTATAACATAGTCTAGCAACATGTTCAAAATATATGAAATTGATTGTACCCATACTTACAAAAAAGTGGGGCATTTTCTCTCACAGTTTGCAAAATATATGAAATTGATTGTTCCCAATTGGAATATGAAAATTTCAGAACTTACCAGGTAAGTCCATAATCACCTAGTGTTGTTGACAATTTCCATGTGAAATTATGCACCATATTGTGCCTTCCTAGGGGTCATTTACTGAAGTTATATTACATAATCATTGACGACCATCATACAGCTAATTCAAAAGGACCATCATACAGATAATATATTACATATTCAAAAGGACCATCATATAGCTAATTCCATACTCAAATAATAGATCATTCCAACAGCATACAAACCCACTCCATCTTGTCATCCTCCTCTACATTGAAGAACAAATCAACCCACTCCCCATCTTTGACTATCAATAATGCTACCTTCAACCTTTGGCTTGTACTCATTCGTAATTTCAAGATGGAGTGGGAGAAGGAATTAGGGGATCATTTTCCTTATCATCAAGTGGATCCATGAGCATTTCATGTTTGATGAGGTTGTGGAGAAGGCAACATGCGGTAATAATGCAGAATTAAGTCTTGATTGGAAAGTAAGAATAGATCTTCAAAATTGCCTAATCAAGACTCAATGAGGTGGGTAATTTTGAGGACCTATTTTTACTTTCCAATCAAGACTCAATTCCGCCAAACAAACGTGTCCATATAGGCAACAATTGAGGGCAAAAGTGTATTCCAATCTCTAAGCTAGGGGATTGATTTTTCAAACCCAGCTCATCTAAGGGAAAGGTAATCCGACAGGGGTGTGAGAATAATACTCTAGGGTCATGTTTGTTTGGGCGGACTGGATTAGCATTCCCATGACTAATAGTCGTAAGACTACGAATCCGTTGGATTATGTATCCTATCTTAACTAATAGTCAAGTTTAAAATAATTAATCTGTACTTTAATTGTTTAACCAAACATCGGATTAATAATTTTATTGGACTATTAGTCCAATCCCAAGCTCATGTCCACCCAAACAAACATGGCCTAGGTGGAGTAGTAGTCCCACTCAATAAGAAAGCAAACAAACAAGTTATTGTGGGACCCACTTCATTACTACTCCAATCCTACACTCTAATTAGCAAAACAAACATGACCTTAAGAATAAGATTCGTTACATGTATATAAGCAGACATAGCTTTATGCACCAATCAATTTTTCATTTCGAAGGTCGAAATATCTTTTTATAAAATTAAATAGGATTGTGAATAATAAATTATATCATAAGACAAGATATAATAAAAGATTAGATTTATGATAGAATTGTTATGAGAATAAGTTATACTATAGGGTAATAGATATGATAAATGATTGAATAAAATGGTTGCGATATTATATTTGGTTATGATGAAATAAAAAGATCAAAGTTAGGTACAATGCAAAACAAAAATCATATTATACTATCCGATGGGACTCACATGTTCTCCACCTCCTTATCCAACAATCAAACATGAATTAACAATTCAATAAATTTCATGTGCTTCCCGTATTTTCAATCCCATCATTAGTAAGGCAATCAATTGTGTTCATGTAGTGTGGATAATATTGTTAACAAAAATGATTAAGAGCTCTAAATTGTGAGCTCTAAAAGAGCTTTAAACTGTTGGACCCATTGTCTGATGTGATGTTTTGACTTGTTTTTGTTTTTGGTTTTTTTTTTTGCCACATCAGTATAGCTCTGATTAGAGCTCTACTATTAGAGCTTTGAATCACTTCTCTATTGTTAAATGGAGTCTTCTATCTTCTAATTTTCCCCCCCATAAAATATAGTAATAAAGATAATATGAAATAATATGTGTCTGACAAAAAAATTATTCAAATTAAACTTTAGATATATATATATTTTTTATATAAAATTTTACAAAATTTGAAGAAGCAACAACTTACATTTTTTTAGTGGGAATTTAGAGGGAAAAAAAAAAAAAACACTTTTAACCTAAATTTTATATCATTTGAATTACATTTCAAATAATTTATCAGAATATATCTAAATATTTTAGAGGTGCCATCTACATATTAATGCCTAATTTTTGAATGCATGTTTCTCTAGATATTTAAATTTAATAAGATCTAACGTTTGAATATTCACTTGCATTCAATTCTCATATTCAAATTCATGTAGTACAGAATGTACGGAAAAAAGTGTGTATAGAGAGAGATATTATAGAACTATACAATAATTGATTGCCCAAAACTTGATTAAGACAAAACACACAAAGAAAACATGATTGGACATTTAATTTAATTAGACAGCCTACCATGTTAAGAAGTTGATTTTGGTCTATGGATTATGAGTTTATAGTGATTTGGCATAAAGGAAACACCTTTGTAAATTATTGTAAATTGCTTATTTGATTGCATTATTGGGAGTAGGAGGGATAACGTGTTTGATCATGTTTTTGTAGCCTTACATAAAATTTATACAAAATCTATAGAAAATGATAAAATTACCAATAAGTTTAAACGCAAAAATCAAACATAAACACATAAAATTTATTTGATTGGACAACTCTTCGTGCCCATTTTTTAGAAGTAGATCCCTATTACTTAATTTAGATCCATCTAAAAATTAAAATAATAATAATAATAACTAAAATATAAAAAAAAAACTATCATATTTCTTTTTTTTTTTTGCCCTAGTTTTTTTTTTTCACACATATTTTTCTTTTTAGTTTTTAGGTGCATTTGCTCCCTTTTGAGGGACACTGTGGCTCGAGAGACCAACTTCGTGGTCGAACACCACTTCCGGTGCCTAACAGTCAGTTTTCGGGGCTTCGGGCTGCGCGTTTCGACCCCCGAACCTCCATTTTGCATCGGTTTGAGTTCATTTTTGGCAAGGACCCCTGTTTCATTGTTAGGAAGGTCGTAGAAGGGTGGGAGGCCAGTAATTGTTCTGACAACCAGTTTTATTCCTCCATCACCATCCGTCGCCCGTTTTTCTCACTTGAAAACCAATGTTGACCACCCTAAGGCCACTTTTTCCAACCCTAAGGCCACTTTTTCCAACCCTAAACCACATATTTGTGTTGTACACACTTGGGAGGCCACCAATATCATATGGCCGG